GAAAACCAAAGAAAAAAAGAGTATGCAAATCATAGCTAGCTATGTCTTGGGCACTTGTTTTTAAATTTAAATTAAAACCTAGGAACCACAAAACTATAGGAGAGGCAATGTGGTAAAAATCAAACGCTTGTCAAAATAATCAAATATAACAAAGTGACTTTTTTCTGCAAGTTCAGTTCTATTAACTTTTTTGTTTCGGGCTTAACACCTTTTATATCATTTCAAAAATATATGTGAGGCAGCGTGGTGGAATCAGGCTCTCGTCAATTTTTGAGCATGTAGAGTTATTGGTATTGTCTTAAAGCTTGTTCCTTTGTCTTTATTTGGATGAAAGAAATATCCATTTACCTTGAATACAAGTCGAGATATTTGCGAAAGAAAGAGGTGAGGGTCACCTGTTTTCAGAGGTAAAATTAGTGAGAAAATGGCCGCCAAAGATTAGTTATTTCCTTAGCTTAAGATTCCGTGGTAACTGAAAATATACATTCTTTGTGCCTTTAATCGACGTTTTTCAGAAAAATCCACACAGAAATGAGTTCTTTAATGGGCACGAAAGGTGTTGAGCCAAAAAACAAAAAATTGATAAAAATTCACAAACCTGCTGAAAAATGCAAGTTTCTTCACTTTGATTATTTTGACGAGAGCCTGATTCCACCACGCTGCCTCACATATTTCTGATTTGATTTTCACAGAAAAACGTAGACCAAATGGACAACAAATGAAAATTTTGCAGTTTCCAAGGGCACTGCAGCTATGGAAGTCACCAAACTTGGCAGCCATTTTCTCGCTAATTTTACCTCTGACATCAGGTCACCCCCCCCACCCCCCTTCCCCCCACATCCTTCCATCGACAATATGTCAACTTCTATTCAACATAGATGGATATTCTTTTTTCACCAACAGCAGGGCAAATGAACAGGCTCTAGGAAGATTATTTCAGTAACTCCACATGCCCAAAAATTGACGAGCACCTGATTCCACCTATCCTGAAACATATCATTGTAAGATGTCCCTTGATGTCGGTCTTCAAATGATAACTTTATTTCCCCAGAAACTGATTAACAGGCTGATTGTGGAAGAGCACTGACAGCATTAAATAGGCCTATTTAAAAATTGATCTTTCATTTTTATAAATAATAAAAAGAAAAGAAAAACATACTGTAGTCAGTTATTGAATAAAAGATCTACTTGGCTCTTCTTGTATCATATTCAAAACAAAGCAAAAATAGATCCCCCTCCTAAAAGAACAAACTCAATTAAATACAAAGTATTGTTTTCGCATGTGCATAGGAGTTGCAAAAAGTCTACATTTTATGCATGGTGTCATCCATAAAACACACACTAATTAAAAATATATAATGGCCTACAAAGCAGTAACTAAAAAGTTCAGATTTGTCATGGTTAAAAAACCCAACAAAATTTCAACAGAGAAGTAGTCATGGTAAATATTCAACAAACAGCAAGCGCGTTGCCAAATCAACACTTATCATGGAAGGCAAGGATGGCAGGAGAAAAAGTAATACCTTTGGAGAAATTTCTTCTTCTCACCCCCACCCAGTCAAAAAAAAAAATTTAAATACCCCCCCCCCCCCCAAATGAAAAAAAAAATCCCAATAACATAGCTGGAAAAGCAAAGATAATATGTGTCCTGAAATATTATGATCACTTTACAAACAATTGTTCGTAATCAAACCTCCAGAATTATCCTGAATGCTGTTTGTGTGAACCCAAGAGAGCAACTGGTTCAATCAATGAAAGACATTTAATTTTAGATAAATTTTTAAAAATCCCTTCCGCCAGAGAGATAATGCGATAAAACAGAGGTCGTACAACGTGCATGGAGACGTGCATAGAGGAAAGTGCAAATCAAATACATGTACACATTTTCAGCTCTAGAGAGAATGCATGAATGAAATGGCACAAGATGGTGCATAGCAAAAATAGAGATGCGCAACATATTATGGCATGTGCGGCCCAACGTGACATCGCAAGAGCTCTCAAGCTAGCATTACTGCAAGCAAAATAAACAGATGACATCACCTTTGAAATGAGCAGAAACAAAAACTGTAAACTATCACAACCGGTAATAATTCGATGCTAAAATCCCATCAAAGTGGGCAGTTTTCCATATGAGTTAACATTGTACACCATCACAATACACAGATAAAAACACTCTTTTATTTCGACAAGATTGTATCCACAGTCCAACACCCCATTAGGTTTATTACATCATTGAGGACGCCCTGTTTTGGGGCATTTTACCCCCCAAAAAAGTATAACTTCACAAATATTTTTCAATTCAGTTTTCTTTACCTTGAACTTTAAAAAGGCAGGCACTAACAGGTGCATAATGAAGCATGCAAATTGGTGTTTCTGAATCTGTGTTTGATGGTTCAAAATGTGTCGCAACATAGCTTTTGGTCTGCTGCTCCTCGGACAAACGTGTTCTCTACGTTTTAAAGAGTTAATTGCCTGAAGTATTTTATCTAATCCACAAAAAAGCGCTAACATTCTTTTAACTATAATGGAATTTTCATATTTCTAAATTTACGTCTCCAGAGAGCCACAACAGTCCACAAAAGCATTATTCTTATATGACAAACAAGGTACTGAAACAATATTATTCAGTAAACCTCTGCAAAATTGAGAGTCAGCGGCTAAAGTGCAACATCTCATTATATCAATATTATCATGTGTCTTGCCTTTAGTTTGAACTCAAGGGAAATAACAACAGATTGCACATTTGAGAGTATATAATAAATATTCACCCCCCCAAACCTCATTCCCTGCCAACTAATCCACATGCACGACATATAAGATAAACATCACAAAAGTTCTACATCCCCTGAATAACAGCCCCCTTTTTCCTTTCCCCGCATAATAAGACTCCTTCACTCAGTTATGCTGGAACAGAACACTATACACACACAGACAGTTTTCAAGTCAGAGCCCCACTTCTGGTAGGGGTGTTCAATGAAAAATGTTCGTTTGTTTGAGTAAAGAGAAGTACATTGACATAATAACAGAATTATAATGCACAGCAAAGGCAAGGTAGACACACAAAAATAACAGAAAGAAAATAAGTGGAACACACCTGTGACGTCCTCAAACAACCTGCTATATATAAATGCAATCAATCATCCAATACTGCTATATACACTGTAACAAAGTGTTCTTTGCCTCCATCCGTTGACACAACTTTGATCGTTTGTGATGAGGGTTGCTTCACCCCTTCCTTTCAGGGCCAACGTAGTTTTAGTTGAGGTAAACAACATTCTAACAAACGGACAGAGGTGCTCGTTCAACTCTCTTCAGCCCCTAACTTAATAGTTAAAGTAAAAACTTGAATTAGGTACTATGGTAAAGCTGAATTTAGACCTTCACTCCCCCAAAAAACAGATACAGGCAAATGAAGAGAAGTCATGAAAATAATATAATATTATATACCAATGTATCACTTAAGTACCCAACGATAGTCAAAAGCGAAATGCATAATGCTTTCAAATAACAAAGGGTTGACTAAATCAAAGTCATAATAGATTTACCATCACAAAACTTTCAAACATCAAAATGTCAACTAGTCCAAGTGACCCCATCCAGGCACTCACAAACAGAGCCCACCAAAAATCAGTGTGTTAAAAATTCAAGCTACATGCCCATTACATTATTTTAAAATCAAACCAGAACACCAGTGAGACATGTCAAAACACGCACAAGTTCAGCTGGAAGCATCTGGAAGCATACCTATTTTCTATGTACAGCATAATAAAAATACACGTTATATTATGCACATCTGAAAAATAAAATTCATAGCACAGGTACAGTTCGTATGCCACTGGTTTAACATAAGAGAGGCCTGCTGACAGAATGAACTACTTCTCGCAATCTGTGAATGGACATATTGGCAAAAAATCGTCACAAGGGTCAAATTTGAAGACTTTCAACTGGAGCCATTTTCTTCAAGCTTAACATGTTTTTTGTCACATCATATTAATAAATTATACAAATTTGACGTACACATTTCCATGAAGATAAAATCCAAGAAGTAACTCATTCTGTCAGCATGTCTCACATATTCACAAACTTGTCATAACAGAGGGAAACAGAAAAGGCACTGGTTCCTGCTGTCAAAGTCAAAAGTCACCTTTCTTGAGCAATATCTTTTCCAAGTCTTGATATGTATGCTTGTACATATTTCACGTCATCTTTATATGTGATCACACTTATTTTCTCCCAACCTTAGACCGTGACAAGATCTATTTCAGGCCAAATATAATATGTGTGTGTGCCTGGAGAAAGGTCCCAGTTGTTGGCAAAGCTATTTTTGAGCGAGGGGGGTAGGGGGAAGCCAAAAAGTCCACACATTTAACCATTTCTTAATAATATATTGAGAGGATTTTATAATATTTTAATATTTTAATGTTTTATTAGTTACTTTTGAAATGTGTTGTACTTCACCAAAGGTTGGAAATGTGCAAGAAATTGGGCTTTTCTCCAAACTTTGTTTTAACATCCTGTATTTAACTAGATGTGGCATATCTTTAAGATACTCAAAATATTTTCTAAAATTTTGAATCAGCGCTTTCAACATTGAATTGGCTACAAAAATATGCCCTTATTTCAATATCCAAAATTGATGACAACTGGGACCTTTCTTCAGGGGCACACACATATATAGGCCTTCTGCTGTAAACATAAATAAGATCAATCAAATTTTCTTTGTCATAATGAGAGATACTCAATGAAGATGGAAATTCTCATGCTTCAGTAAATTCATGAACATGCATCAAGAAAATGGGATGGAAGAAGATAAAATCATATTTGCATAACAAGGTACAAATGTAAAAAAAAAAAGGTTTTAAGCAGATGAGCTTAAGTCAAAAACCACAAATCCCAGAGTGCAAAAACAGAGATAACACATGTACCCGGTAGTCATAAGTTCATATATCCAGACCAGACATTTTACTTTTTAAACTTTTACAAAGAAGATTTTTTTTTAAAAAGCAATTGAATTAAAAACATTCTACAAATTATTTTTCTAAAAGCAATTAATAGCATTTTTAAAACTATGAATTTCAGAGGAATTGGAATGTTCTTAAGCACAGCTCGGCTGTGATCGAGCAGTGTCTAAACAATGCTGTAATTAAAGCATTAAAAAATATCCTGCTCAAAGTACGTTCACATTTAGGTTTCATTTAAAGTAGAAAAAGCTTTCAAATCTACAACCAAGTTTTGTTCTTGCTCTTGTAATTGATTTTGAAAGTGCTTTCACCTTTGCTCTGTTTCCATGAAGTAGTAAAACTACAGATAAAACGTTTAACAAAGGTGATCCTGACAGTTGAACTCAGCTGTCCTTCAATCCTGAGCTTGTTGAGATATTGAACGGTAAGATCCTGACCTGTGAGGTGGCACAACTAGTAAAAAGTTTGGCATTTGCTGCCTTGAAGAATCCCGAGAATTCCCTGCACAACCTGCAAGGACGACCTAGCATACCTGGGGAGAAGAACAGAGACAAGGCAACTGGGGATTTGTTTTTAGTTTAAGTGAGAGCTTTACTGAACGGGCAACATAATTAGGAATACCTGACAAAATCGTCAAGATTAGGACAGCCACCTATGAAGGAACAAACTGCCAGGTCTTCCAGGAAGGACAACACTTAGAACCATTCTAGGTATAGACAGCAGAGCGACAAGATGCCTGCTCTCACCTTTTCTCTTCGTGTTGGCTATTGATTGAGTCAGGAAAGAAGCCACCAGAGGCAAGCGCAATGGAATACAGTGGATCCCTTCGCAGCCGCTGGACAACTTTGACTTCGCTGGTGACCTTGCACAGCTCTCTCACACACATGCTCAGATGCAAAAAAAGACCAAGGAACTCAACAGACTATCAAGGAGTGTTGGCATACGTATACATCCAGATAAGTCAAAAGTAGTGAAGCTTGGAAAAGTTTGAAGCCCTGCTGTGACAGTGGAAGACACTCCCCTGGAAGAAGTGGACTCCTTTACCTACCTTGAAAGTGAAAGTATCATGGATGGTAAAGGTGGAACCGAGGCAAATGTAAAAGCAAGAACCGTGAAGGCAAGGTCAACATTCAATCAACTATCAAAAGTCTGGAAAGCAAGCAACATCTCACTGCGCACTAAGATTCGACTCCTTAACTCCAATGTCAAGTCTGTGCTCCTCTACGGCTGCGAAACTTGGAAGACAACAAAGACAGTACTGAATTAAGTCCAGACTTTCATCAACAGATGTATAAGGAGAGTCCTAAGAATTAAGTTGCAGGATAGAATAAGAAATGAAGAGCTGTGGGAAAGGACTGGACAAAAGGATATAGAAGTAGAAATAGGACTAAGAAAGTGGCGATGGATGGGACAAAGCTTTAGAAAGCCCAGCGGAAACTTCACAAAACAGTCACTGCAGTGGAACTCACAGGGAGCATGTGGCAGGGGTAGGCCACGGGAAACATGGAGGAGATGTGTGGAAAGGGATATGAGAGCGATGAAACTCACTTGGAATGAGCTTGTAAGTAAGGCCCAGGAGAGAGATAAATGAAAGGAGCTTGTATGTGGCCTATACCCTGCCAGGGGTGAAAGGCATTGATGATGATATACACACTTAGGACAAATTAATGCCAACGGTTAGAGTTAGAGGTGTTACAAAAGAGTAATAAACAAAAAAAAAAACCCCAAAAAAGGAGGAAAGAAAAGGACGATAGATGTTTGATAGAAAAGAAGGAGAAAACCAAACCAAAGCATCCGCCAACCACCCACTGCAAAATGAGAGCATTTTCCAGATAACACATCCAATGAGAAAGCATTGTGTACAGTAAGAGACTTAAGACAAGGCAATGCTTTTATATACAGAACTTTGAGCTAGAGTTATTGCATTAAAAAAATCTACCACCTATATTTTCTTAGTACTGAAGAGCAGTTCTGAGGAAAATGAGACCACAAATACTGATGCTTATTTCATTCTATACAAGCAGCCCAAGTGGCCTTTAAAAAACTTGAGTCGCAGTGCAATGGCTGTAAATAGGTTTTTTTAAAAAGTCAACAGAAGATAAACAATGTATTCAAGTCTGAAGAGAGGAAGACCATATGTAAGATAAAAGAGGAAAATAAATCAAATTTCTTCTTGCTTGTTTGTTTGCTTCTGCACAGAGAGGCACATCATCATAATAACCATCCTTTATTGCGGGGACAGAGCAAAACAGACTGATAGAGGGAAAGAAAAGAAATAGCATCTAGAAAAGATATAGTATCCACCTCTGACACCATCCGTCAAGTTAAATAAATAACCAGTAAATAGAGCAGAACTCCAACTTACCAAGAAATTGAGGCTGATCCCACACAGGGAGTTCTTGAAGGTGAGGTAGCAGAGGACGTACATTCCCTCCTCCGCCCGCTCCAGCAAACTGCGAGCAAACTTCACCTGTTTGTTGATGCCTCTCGAGTCCTTGCCGGCTCCACCACCTCGGACACCATCACTGCTTGTCGGAGCCCAGACGTATGAGATGTAGGAGTTGAAATCGGTGAAATCCGCCTGAGGAGTCATAATAATAATAATAGTAATTTAATGATAAAACTGCTACTAATAATAACAATAATAACAAAAATAATAACAATAGTAATAACAGTAAATATAATAACAATATTAAGAATAATAATATTAGTAATAATAAATAAAGAGCACTTCTTTTTACACTGCACAAAAAAACCTATAGGAATTCCTTTTAGTCCAATACCATCTAAACAAGATTGATATGGAGTACACAGTTTGGAATCTTGTCCCATATCACATAAATGGTCGCTTTTAAGCACAAGGGGGTATCCCGCAAAATTCTGTTTTGAGAAAATCTTAGTTAAAGTTTTTGGACCCTTGTTCAGTTTCTTCAAAAGACAAAGAGAGTTTTCTCCATAACCAAACAAATATACACACCAATGAAACCAAACTTCTCCTGTAGGTAGGACAATGCCCACTTTCGGTGCAGGTCAAAATTTCTGGAAACCCCCGAAAGCTGGGTCAGCCCACTTGTCCATAAAAGCGACCATAAATATCACAACTTATCATGACATATTTCACAGGATAAATGCATTTGAAGGCAGAAAATAAGGGTGGAACTTGCAGGTTAGCACCTGTAAAATGGCAGCTTGCACTGTATGCTTTCCAGGAAGTTGAAATTGTTTTTGACTACTATCAGGTTTGCTGGGGTAATAGTATAAATCATAAAGTACACAGAGCTTACTGTTGAGCAGAAATTTGTGCCATACTAATGCTATTTCTTATTATTTCTCCATAACACTCAGAACTGTAACTGAAGTACCTTATACAATCCTATCCAATCTCCAATAGTTTCCTGAAAGTTTCTCCGGACATGATATGTGACCTTCTGCGGCGATTGCCTGCTCCACACAAGCCCCTCAGACAGAAACTTAACAGGTTGAGAAATGGGCTTGGACATCACCTGTGACAAATATAATTGATAGACGCAACGCTTTAGTTTTAGTAAGAGTTTTACAGAGTGCAATACAAATAGGTCAGTTTGAGTTTTTAGTAAAGTCTTATGACACTTGTGACACAATTAGGTCACATAAATGCCAAAGATAAGAGGTGTTACAAGAGAGTAACAAACACAAAAAAAGGAGGAGAGATAACGACGATAGATGTTTGACAGGGCAGAAGGAGCAAAACAAACAAGAGCACCCGCAAACCATCTGCTCACAAATAGGTCAGATCAGTGCCGAAGATTAGAGGTGTCACTAAAGAGTCACATACTATGAAAAGGAGTAGAGATAAGGATAACAGATGTTTGATAGGATAGAAGAAGCAAACTACACCAGAGCACCTGTCAACCATCAACATAGATGGATAGATTGATAATGAGTCACAAAATGAAATGTTTTCAACAAGTACCAGCAATCTCAATATCATACCAAATCTCGTTAGGAAAGAAAGTCAGGAATTGGAATATCCCACATAATCTCAATAGGACAGTCATTATTGTTGTTTCCGATCCAGGAACAGCTGGGTTCTTGCCCTTCTGTCCATCTCAACAGCTGTCCATCTCAACAGGAGAGAAACTTACAAAATACGAGACACGACAAAACATGTTTAACAATGAAGACCACTTTGCAATCACAAAACAACAAAATCTCAAATGGTCTGAGCATGTGTCGAGACCCAGGTCACTCATTTTCACATTCACACGAGGAGCCACAGAAGGCAGGGGAAGGAGTGAACGGCAGAAAAGAAGTTGAGCCTCATTCCTGACACTGACTTTATTTAATAAGCAACTTGCTTGTTTCAGTAAGACTTTTATGGCACATCCAACACAATTACGTCATATCAGTGCCGAAGACTAGAGGTTTTACAAGAGAGTAACAAACAAAAAAGAAGGAGAGATAAGGACGACAGATGTTTGAAAGGAAAGAAGGAGCAGACCACAACTGAGCACCCACCAACTACCAACAACAAGAAACTAACTTCCTCCGAAAAAAACTTTAATTATACGACTCAGACAACAGCACTTTATGTACAAATGTTGCAAACAACTACAACCGCTAAAATGCCAGCATGGAGAAGCAGACCAAACTGTGGAACATGTTATATCTTCCAGCAGCGTAAACACGCTGGGTCCTGACACAGGAAACAAGGGAAACGTGATAACCCCACTGACACTACAGGAGAAACTGTACAAGCCAACAGAAGAACTGAGCAGGATAGCCTAGTAAAAGATGGATATATTCAGCCCTCCCCCCCTCCCACCCAACCACATACACACACACACACACACACACACACACACACACACACATCCACCAGTCAGAGAACAAAAACAAATTGTGGCCTTACATTAATGTCAAACACAGCAGACACAGGTTTGTGGTCACTTTCCTTGTAAGATGGATGGCTGCGGTAGTCCAGGAGAGTGCTCTGTAGCCTTGTCTTGCCGTATGCGCAGTCATGGAAGTGATAAAGAACGCGGTCGCAGTACGCAGGAATCCTCTTCTTTGGGCTAGGGAAACCATAACCACAAAGGACATTCAGCACTATTTATACCGGGTGCCTGTTGCGGGTTGGATCAGGTCAAATTAGAGACAAAGGGTTAAATTAAAATTTGGTGGTGGGTATTGATTTTCCTACACCACATTTTATGGCATTTTGTTGATATTCAATTTTTAAAATTTTTTACTTAAAATAATAAATCCTTGGGCACAGACAGCAATAGGGGTCTGAGATCAGTGGGTAGAAAAAAAAAAAGATTCTCTGGTGGTTCATGAGCCACAGCTTAATTTCAGAAACAAATAACCTTGTGTTGTACAAAAGCAACTGACCTTGTGTCGTAGACATCAGTGCTTGGGTCAAACTTGTATGTAGGGGCAAAAGTTATGGGACCCTCTTTGAAATTTTCAAAGGCAAGCCCTTCTTCTCTCACCAAATTTAACTGAAAATAGATTTTGAAATAAGAAAAATGATTTTCAGAATGATTGATAAAAAGACTTTGCAGTTGAGTTTTGGAGCACCATCAGCTTGTTCGATAGAATACACATTTTTGATAGGCATTAACAAGGATTTTAAAAAAGTTCTAGTCAGAGTTTTACAGCACTACATAAAAAATAAGTCACATAAGTGCTGAAGATAAAAGGTGTTATGATAGAGCAACATACAAAGACAAGAAGAAAGACCGATTATAAAGACAACAGATGTCTGACAGGAAAGAAGGAGCAAACCACACCAGAGAAATCTAACAAAGACAACAGAGACTTGCAAAAGAAGAGGATGGTAAATATCTCACTAACGCACCTACAAACTAACCAGCTACTGCATGTCCTGTTAACCAAAATATCTATTCAAAGTAACAGTAGGGAGCTCTCGTGGCCTAGAGGCTAAGGTGTTCACTTCTCATTCAATAGGTCCTTCGTTCGAATCCGGATAACGACCAAAAGTTTTCTCTTTTCACGTCCTTTCCTGCTCTATAACAAGGTTCTGTTGTCTGCTTTTGTCTTCACTTTCTGCCCCAACCCCCTCATCCCCTCCTCTGGGCTCCTGGCTCTTTCTGCAGCCTTTCTACTGCTACTCCTTGGCTCCTTCTTACTGCTGTCGTTCAGCTACACCTTTGATCTTATGGCAGGAAAGATGTACATCTAACCTTCTCGGTGGTACAGCGTGCAAGCTGCACACGTTAAAGATCCATTGGTGGTCCCAAAATCAATAGGAGTAGGCTTCGGCAGCCAACCTAGTAAAATTGAAAATTTCTTACCAACTGAAAATGTATTACGTGTCTTGTGCACTCATATGACCTTATGCAGTTGCGAGCGGCATAAAGCACTTACCAAAGAAAAAAAAAATAATAGTGAAACAAATAACAAGAACCTCCTCCAGTACTCTCACGAGAACAACGACAAAATAGAATGGTGACTATTTATAAAGAACCCAAACCGCTTGAAGAGATCTACATGTTCAGAATCAGCATGGATTTTTAAAATGACAAATAAGCTATGTGGAAAAGACAAACGCTTTTTGAATAGATTTCAAACGGATTTCCTGAATATTGCAACAGCAGTTCAATAAAAAGACTACAAACGTCTTTAAACAATGCTGAATAGCAGTGTTGAATTCAATGAATAAATAAATAATGAAGTCTTACTCCTTATTAAAAACAACGTACGCTATTCCAATAAACTGAATAAAATTGGTAATGGGCAGAAAAATTTCATTATTTTGATAAGCGCCTGATGTGACCAAGACGCCACACATTTTATACTCTGTAAAGAGAGCGAAAAAATGAAAAAGTCATTCTGAAAGTATTTTGCTTGTGTTCATACCTGATCGTTTGCTAAAAGCACTGGGAAATTCTCTTTTGATATTTCCATGACGGCATGCTCGTATGGTGTGTCTTCCAAGCGAAAGTTCATGTCTCCCATCCAAAATATGTAACTGACAGGCAGAAGAACAAAGCATGATAAAAAGGACAAAACAAAACAAATATTTCACTTTCAAAGAACAATTGGCGACTCACTGATGTACAAGTAACTATGAAAGGCAAAACACAAAATCTTGAAACTGACAACAAATTTGTAATGAAAGAGCATGCTAAAATTTAAAAAGAACTATAGCAGAACTGCGACTAAATCTTAAGATAAATCGCTGTGTCCCACTATCATGTCAGGAATTACAAGCTTCACCACAATCTGGGACCCTTCCTTACCGTTAAAGAACCTTACAGTACGATGTTGAAATTTTATTATAAATAGAAACTTAATAATAATAATAATAATAATAATAATAAGAGTAACAATATCAACAATGAAAAAGATGATAATAATAACAGTTGCCGAGAGGAAAAGGATTACCAGATGGGCCTGTCACTCACTCATGATCTAGAATGTTGTCAGTGTCCGCATCCTTGAACTTCTGGCTGTCCAGTATGGAGTCAATATCCTGAAAAAAAAAAGGAAGGTCTTTAATTTTTTGAACCATAGTTTTGAGGGTACCGATTTCGTTGAAAGCAAGATCTACACCTGGTCCTGTGCTAATTTTAATACCTATTTTCAGTCATATTGTGATTTTCTGTCCAATTAAGAATAGTTTAAGTGCTCACAAGGAACAAGTCCATCAACATTTTACAGGATTACAGATTTTTTAAGGTAACTCCCTTCCCTGCCTAAGGGTGTAAAATTGTGGAATCCCTTGCGTATAGAAAGAATTAAGGGCAGGACTTGAACTGTGAAAGTTCAACTTGTTGAAAAAGTTACAGCCTGGTCATTTTATCAATAAAACTGGTCATCAATAAAAATTTGCCTGAGCTGAGGAGTATGGCAACTGAACAGACCTGTGCATCCCTTTCTGAATCGCATTTGTTCTAGTAGTGGTACATTCCCAAAAGCATAATTTAGATTATTTGGGAGCTGAGCTGCCTCAAACCTGCTTGTAAGGGCCAATTCGGGCTGAGAGGGAGATAACATTCCGGCAGAAAGCTGGAGACACTAAATTTTAAAAACTTCCCCATTCAAGAATCAAACTTATGTCCTTGGAGTACTATTCCGAAGAGCGTAGCTTCTACACCGCAGATGCTGCTGCTTTTTTCAAAACTAAAGGAAGGAAAGTGAAGTTTGCAGCTGTGGGTGCTTTAAATGGATCATGGGACTATGACGAACAAGTAGAAAGATTATGAATCTCTGCAAGCATGAGAGCGAATTTTTTTTAGTAACATTCTTCAATGACCTGGTTGTATGATTTACATACAATAATACCATCACATGAAAAGCTCTCATTCAGAGTTTGAACATTTCATTAACCAGAACTACAGATTAAAATGAGAGGCATCGTGGTGAAATCAGGAACTCGTTAAAACAATTAAATCGAAGATGATATCAATAACTGCCATAACTCCTTGTGCCCAAAAAATGTATGAGCTCCTGATTCCACCATATTGTGACACAAATGAACATCATCATTTGAACAATCTATTAATCCTTCAGATAACATATTACTTCAGATACATTGACACTCCACAACTGTGATTTTGTGCTTTTGGGTTTTTTTCAGTTCTTTTTTTTTTCAAAGGCAAGTAGTTGTTTTTAAAAAAAACATTTCCTATCATATTTAAGAAATTCTTACAATATTACAAGCATGATTCCTATATAACTGTCTTAACTACTGTAATAAAAGTAGTTTACACAGATAGCAGCACACGTACATATCCACCACTTTTCAAATCATTATTAACCCCTTTGTGACAGCTCCCGTACACTGTATGTCCAATATTGTGTGCCAAGATGCCATCCACCAGTACAATGTACGTCCTAAATTCAGCAGATTACGGTAATCGCGGGGACCTTACTATGAACACCGTACAGGGTTTTAAAACTGCACTACAATAGCTTTGAATGTCCTGGTAAGAAAAAATTGGGTGCCGTAAAAGTTGGAAAAACTATAAGACACGAAGGGGTTAAAATAAAGCTGCAGTTGTCATGACCCATGGTGAAGACCTGACAGTAATTGCAAAATGTCCTGGACCTACCAACAGCCGAGCTGCCACCTGGTCTTGGTGAGCTGCCAGATGACAGTTGACCACGATGAAGTTCAGACCCATGAAGTCCATACGAAGACTGACCCCACCTTTATTGCCCTGGAATAAACACAGAAATAAAACAACCCAAATTGTGACATGTAGGAAGGAAAAACATTGTAAAAGATATTATTATTGTTAAAAACATAAATGTTGTTGTTGTTGTTGTTAGCGATCCAGTAGCATCTGAGCGTTAACTCTTCTGCATGATGCCATTCGGTAATAGTTGCATGTTTGTTCTAATTGTTGTCTTGAGGAGTAGAGGCAATTAGATGTGTGGGGTAGCTTGGGAAGAAAACATCCCCTTAAATCAGTTTGTTTTCTACAGAAGAACAGATGATGTTCCACTGTCTCTGAGGGGTAGTCACATAGTGGGCAGGCAGCAGACTGCTTTACTCCAATTCGGTTGAGATGTTGGTTGAGGGGTACATGTTGTGTTCTAAGTTGGAAGATTATGGATTGATCTCCCCTCCTCAACTCATTGATTGGATCTTTGACCAGTGGTTTATTCATGTGGCCATACATCCTCCTTCCTGTCGTACCTGTGGCCCAATCATTCATCCACTCTTCCTTGAGGTTTTACTAGATCATTTGAAAACATAAATGTAAGCCACAAAAGAAAAAAACCAACTCAAAAAACTAGCAGTAACAATGATCTTGACAAAACTTAATTGATCTTACAATGACATAGACCCACACGAACATCTGTCTCTCTTTCTCTCGCTTCCTCCGAATGCCTTTGTCTTTTCAACATTTTCCTCTACCTTCTCCAGAACAAATCACACATAAACATTACCGCCACATCAAAACTAATTTAAATAAAATTACACAAAAAAGCTCGTTACATTAGAAGAGTCGTTCCAATCGTGACAGAATTTTCAATATAAAGTCAGACAGACAGGAAGCACATTGCTAAACCACTAGAAACTTCTTGGACCTATGTTAAGCACTAGAGCACTTTACAGCTGTATAAGAGGAGACTGATGAATTTGTTTCCCTACCACTACATGGTCCCTGATAAGCTTCACAGAATCCTGAGTCAAAGTGAAGAGCATGTGTCTGCCAGTAGTAAACTTTCAGAAACCTACAACCCCCGTCCCCCCTCACACACACACCAAATGTTAATATAGGTAGATAGCTCTGGAACAATTCAGAGCTGAAATAAAACGTCCTTTATACTAAAAGATATGCCCAGTTTGTGGTTAGAATCAAAGCTCAGTCTGAATCTTCTTTGATGTTCCTCTTATAATTTCCTCTCAGTTTCGAATCTACTTGGAGTTGTCTATTGAGGTGTAACGGCTTATGTAAATGGGAGTACACTAAGCTATAAAATAACTATAATGGTTTACGAGAGATCTCCTCTTGTACCATGTGAACTGTCTTGTATTTGTATAGTGAGTTCACCCTTGTCATGAAACGGCAGTCATTAAACATCCAACAGAATAAACAGTTGATTCGATTATCTCTATGCTGTTTCAAAGTAAAAGCCCTCACAACATTACATGAGACATTTCAATTCCAATGAAAAATGAAGTGAAATAGTTAATAGCTAACATGAAAAGCAGCTTACCCAGAACCCACCAAGGCCGGTCTTGGTAATCTCCGACTCGACACTAGTAACAAATGGCAGGAGAGCTCTTCTCACAAACATGACTGTCACAATACCCTGGAGGCGACGGGCTTTCACCTGGGCAAAAAGCACACACAAAAAACACAATTTTTTAAATCCATCAAAATAGAACACTGAACAATGATGTTAAAATATCCATAAAAACATGATTAAGGATGTTGCTGCAGTTGAGCGGTATGCTAGTAGTTCATAGCCAGACCAAGTGATAGCCAGATGGATCATTCTGTTAGAAGTGGATTAGGAGTACAGAAATTTCGAAAAGAAAGGAGGTTACCACACCAGAGGGCCCATCAGATGTGCAGGTACAATTTACAAGAGTAGCTCGGATCAGTGGGATTATCACTGAAAATTTTATCATTAAAAAAAATAATAAATAATGCAATAAAAGTTTCCGAACTCCTCAGTTTGTTCCTAAGTTATTAAGCTTCCGGAGGCTTCCAGAAGTTTATTCATATTTCGAAAGTGCTCCAAGGAAAGGATCAGTCACCACATTTTGAAGCTCATATGTGAGGCAGCGTGGTGGAATCAGGCTCTCGTCAATTTTTGGGCATGTAGAGTTATTGTTATCATCTTCAAGCTTGTTCATTTGTCTTTATTTGGATGAAAAAAATATCCATATATCTTGAGTACAAGACGAGATATTTGCAAAAGAAGAAGGTGGGGGTCACCTGGTTTCAGAGGTAAAATTAGTAAGATTATAGCCGCCAAAGATTTGTTATTTCCTTAGCTTAAGAGTCTGTGGTAAGTGAAAATTTACACTTTTTGTGCCTTTAATCATCGTTTTTCATTTTAAAAAACACACTGAAAAGAGTTCTTTAATGGGCATTGAAGGTGTTGAGCCAAAAAAGAAAAATTTGATAAAAATTCACTAACCGGCAGAAAAATGCAAGTTTCTTCACTTTGATTATTTTGACGAGAGCCTGATTCCACCACGCTACCTCACATATAGAGGACAGAATGTCTTTAAAAAAAGGATCCTATCAAGCCAGGAAAAGGACCTTACCCTGACATAATCCTTTTTGAAGAGCGGCTGAGAGATGGCTGGCACCCATTCTTGGTTGAAGGCTTCCTGCAAACTGCCAAATAGATGGACAAAGAGAGTGAACAAAATGGAATGCCACGTCCTCTTCTTCTTCTTCTTTGACCTTCCTCCATTAGACCCCATGAACAGCTGATTGTATAGTGTCTGTGGTGTAGCAGTTAGGTGCTTCAGTCACTTGCCGATAACCTGAGTTTGATCCCCATGTTGGGAGAATTTTTTAGTTGAATATCTTTTTTCTGGGACATGGTATCCTTCTCAGCACAGGTTGGCCCTGGCGCGCAGGGTCGAAACCCACTTTCTGAACGAACAAAATTTGTGTTGATGTGTTAATTTAGAGGGTGGGATGCTTTGACTCAGCCTGTCAATGGCAACCTGGCTGTTTGTTTGTTTGTTTAGTATAGGGTTTTACGGCACTCGCAACTGCATAAGGTCATATGAGCGCACGGGACACACCTAATAATTTTTCGTTCCTAGATACTAAATCACAGCAGACATACAAAGAAACACTATGCTGTCCCAGTCATTTTATGCAAGAAAAAGTCTGAAATTATGCAACCTGAGCCCTAAAATGTGAAATTATGCCATTCTGTTAATTTTTACAAATAATTATAAAGGAAAATAATCAGAAATTATGCAAAAAATGATCAAATTTTGCTAAATTATGCAGGGTACATAAAACCACAGGGACAGACTATGACAAGGATACCACGGGGATTTTATGTATATAATTGAAAATTGACACCATTTCATTTGTGAACAAACAGACAGCTAAAATACACAGGTAATATGGAGATAAACAGAAAGCAAATGTTTAAAATAGTACCTGTTCTTCTCATGAAAATAACAGAAATAACCAATACCAACAATGGGGAGATAAAAATGGCAAAACAGCATTCTGCTATGAGAAAAACTTTTCCAAGCTGGAATCAAATTTACACGTTCTGCAAGCAAGTAAAAAATGAGATAGACAAACAGGAACAAAAGAGAGAAAGAAAAGAAGACACCTTCCAACCACGCTATCCAAGACAAAAACACTCTATAGAATAACAAAGCAACAAATAGAAGAGGACTTGTAGCTACTTCTCAATTTAGTTGAAGGGTTAAAACAGATTCAACAATAAATAATAACAACTATCATGATATGCATGTCTTTAAGAAACAAAAATGATCCTAAAAAGGAACAAAGCTGTCTTCATTCCTTTTCTCTTGGTCACCAGGCCTATCTTTTAAGAGAATTTTAATTGGCCCTGTTGTTACTTAGTTTTAGTACGAGTTTTACTGCACTTGCATGTAAGTGCCAAAGATTAGAGGTGTTACAAGAGAGTAACAACTACAAAAAGAAGGAGGAGAAATAAGAGTGATAGATGTTTGATAGGAAAGAAGGAGCAAACCACATCAAGAGCATCCCCCAACTACCAACGGCCTTGTTTCATTTACCCCCAGTGACCACATAATTTTAATAAAATTCCACTGCACTGGGAAATACGCTGCACATAAAACTCACCCAATGCCGTACACGTCAGGAGACGGATCAATGTCCAGTCCTAACAAGTCAGCGAGGTCAGTTGGGGGTGGCTGGTTGTGGACATTCCAGGTGACCAGGTAAACTCTAGGTGAACATGGAAAACCAATAAATCCAATATGACAATTTGTTTTAGTGAGAGTATCACAGCGCTTGTAACACAATTAGGTCTAATAAGTGCTGAAGATCAGAGGTGGTACAAGAGAGAAACAAACATGATAAAGGAGGAGAGATAAAGACGGTAGATGCTTGAATCAGTAAGCCTCTTCATCGAGAAGAAACAAAAACCAGGACAAATGCAGACCACCCATTTCAGTCAAAAAGAAACCCAAGAGACATGCTGTCCAATTATCGTAGGAAAAAGCAAGAAAAACTGAAAGAATTTAAGTACTGAGAGCATAGAGGCATGTAAAAAAAAATTCAAAATGTAATCCTCCACAAAAATATTTTACTTAAAAATGGCGGTTGAGGGTGCTTTATCTAGACTTCTGAGATATTTTTTTGTCAAAATCTATTTCCCAGCAAAACATGACTATTACTGTGGCAACTTCCTGTCATCTATATTCAGAGGATTTTTTAAACAAGTTGACAGACAGTAACGTTTGCAGGTAAGGAATAAGAGTACGGTAGAGTAGCAGCATACTCTGACCACTACTCTGTCCATAAAAGAGAATTTCAAATACAACCAAAAAATTAGTTAAAAGACTGTTACATTTTTCCACAACTTCTAAACCACATTGTTTCACAAAAAGGATCAACCCAAAAAAGTCACAATTAGGCCTGCTGAGTGATCATCATAATGCTGCTTGTATAACTCATCCTTTTCTTATACTCCAACCCTGCATTCCCACCAGCAAAAACCAAACCATAACGTCAAATAGTGCTATAAGGATCTGATTCAAATAACTCATCATCATGAAGTGCCAGACCAGGAGCAGACATCTGCTTTCATGATTTGTCATTCATTTCTTTACTTGAATGTTCTGATAAAAAAGACCTATATAATCTATTGTCTACCATGACATAGCAGTGGAAAAAGGAATATGTGAGACAGCGTGGTGAAATCAAGCCCTTGTCAAAATAATGAAATCTGAGAAACGGGCATTTTTCTACTAGTATGGAAATTTTTTCGAATTTTTATCTTTTGGCTTAACTCTTTTATGTCCATATAAAAACACATTTCAATGGGAATTTTACTTATAAACATTGATTAAAGACACAAAATATGTCATTTTTCAGTTTGGAATGACTCTTTAGCTATTGGAGTAACCAAACTTTGGCGGCCATTTTCTCACTAATTTCACCACTGAAACCAAGCGATTTCGTTTCCTTCAATCACAAATATCTGGAGTTTTTTTTCAAGATAAATAGATATTTATTTCATTGGAAGCAAGGCAAATAAATCAGCTTTCAGGTGATACCAATAACTCCACATGCCCAAATATTGACGAGTGCCTGATTCCACCATGTCGTGACACATACAAGGATTAACAACATTTTTACCGGCGAACAAAGAAAGGAAAGGAAAGAAATAACATGCCAAACAACCTGAACAGGAAAAACAAAAACAAAAAACATATTGAAACAAAGAACTGAAAACATTTCCTACCAGAAAGTGCAGAACAAAATACAATGTCAACTGTAAATGTAGAAATTATAGGTGCATATTACAGAATATAATTATCTAATACAGTCAAAATTGTCTGAGACGGCCACGCATTGTCGAGGATAAAAGTGGCTGTTTTATTTACAGAGATGGCTGTTTTTGGACAATGTAATAATACTATAGGAAAAAAAACACCAGGGGGGTTGGAGGAGGGGGAAGAGGTCATTAGCTCAGATGATTGTCTAGGACAGCTGGCTGTCAGAGCAGGTTCGACTGTTCATCATGATATTTTCTTCAATTAACACATTTTTAAAACACAGTGTCCAGAAATTTCAGGACACTTTTTGTCCAGTCCTGTGACACCACACATATATAAATTTATACTCTGCCTGTTTAAATATGCACACCTGTCAAGGAGTTGAAGGATCACCTAATTACACATGCAAATAGGAGAAAACTTGAATGTTAAGCTGTTGTTACAGCCACCACGGACCAGTTCACCTTGCCACATGAGCAAATTTACTGAATGAAATTACTCTACGAAGTTGAATGGAAATTCGGGAACAGGATGAGCATACAATAACAGCTGTCTCATTTGTATTACTATGCTCCACTATACAGTTTTATAATGAAAATGCTCCACTATACAGTTTTATTATGAAGTTATAATACCAGGAATCAATATTATGCAATTTGGCGACAGATTCTAATACAGTGTTGAAAAAAAAAACACCTATTGATTAAAAAATCAGTCTACGGGTGAGCAAAGCAAAACTAATAGAGACCTCAAAGGGATGGAAAAAAAAAAAAAGCCTACAAAGGTCAATCTCCAACCACTCAGTAGAAGCAAAGAATAATGCAAACTAAAAGCCATAATGTTAAAATTTTACTTCATAAGTACAATCCAAATCCAAGATCTAGAAAAATAATTTACACAGCATAATGAATTAGGGAGTCTGATATAGTTAACCTTACAGAAGAAAAAAACAACATAGTACATTTGTTATGAAGTATGAACACTAACACGAAAACAGTGATGGATTATGAAAATTCTTCAGCACAATTCTGAAAACTGAACAAGAATTTTCACAATTTTGCATTTCCACCTTGCAATACTTGGTTCGAATTCCGCTGTCAGCATTTTAAAATTTTCAGCGGCTTCATTCTGTGACTTTACAATGCTGTGGGGCAGAAGGCAGTGAATTATGTGATCAATTTTAAAAATGGAACCTACTTGACATTACACAACAACAGATACCAACTTAGAGGCCTCTGTGAAACTAGTTGGGTTTTTTTATTCCTCAACTCTATAAACTGCACAAAAGGGGATCAGCCTTTATAAAAATTTCTTTTAATGACAATTTATCTCCTCCACTAAATAAAACCATTCAAAATGTTTGTTCTGTACAATCACTAATCAGTGTGGTTTATAAGAGAAAATAGTCAGCAGCAGTAAACATTATTATTTTCCTGGGTGCATTGAACATAAAAAGCGACTTACAATTTGCTTTTCTTGCCGCCTTTTCCATGGGACAAAATATTGTTGAGTCCGTCCCACAGTGGCATCTTTATCTTCACTAGAGGAGAGTACAAAATTTCTTTTAAAAAATGAATACAGGACAGGACTGGAAAGAACAGTAGAATACAGGACAGGACTGGAAAGAACAGTACAGCACCTTGACATTCAGAAGGTGAGAAAGAAAAAAAGCTGGAAAATATAGATGAGAAATCATCTTATGGAAGACACTCAAAAATAGAAAAAAAACATGACACAAAGACTAGAATGGCATCGAGATCTACGAGCAAAAGAAGAAAAAGTTTGACAAACGGGAGAACCAAATCATGTAATTAGTGACTAATGGGGGAAACGGTAACTATAGCACTACTTCATAAATCATAGACTTCTGTCAGACTATCTTGGATGATTCATCAAATCTCATTCAAGCCCCATTCTAACCCCCTTTTGACTCATGCTTTCATGTTTGTTTTTTAAATGTTCAGATTAAATTTATTTTACTCCTTCAAGAAAGCAACCCATTTAAATACAGTAGAAAATATAATACCCTGAGCTGGTAAGATGTTTTGTTTTGTTCCTGATCTGATCTAGAGGTTCTTTTAAATTTTTTTTCTTTTTTTAGGATATAAGTGTTTTACAGCACACTTAAACTGCACTGTAAGCTCAGGACTATGAGCATGCGGGACTCATTTACTTTCAGTTGGTAGGAAATTTTGAATTTTGCCGGGGTGGCGGCTGAAGCCTACTCTTATTGAAATTATATGACCAAGGGATCTTTTAACGTGGTGCAACTTGCACATGGGCCCTCCGAGATTTTTCGTCCTTGTACGAGAAGGCTAGGTGTAGATCTTTCCTACCAGAAGACCACGGGTGTCGCTGAAAGACAGCAGTAAGGAGGAGCCAAGGAGTAGCAGTAGAAAGGCTGCAGAAAGAGAAAGGAGCCCAGAGGAGGGGGCAAAGGAGGTGAGGGGGATGGGGGCAGAAAGAGGAGATGAAAGCAGACGACAGAACATTACTAGAGAGCAGGAAAAGAGGAGAAAGGAGACAATTTTAGAGAAGAAAATTTTTTAGTCGCTACCCGGATTCGAACCCTGGACCTTTGAATGAGAGGCCAACACCTTTTTAACCTCTAGGCCACGAGAGCCCAATATAATTCTTTATGCCAGCTTAGTTGCTGGTCTACTGCAAGTCCTGCCTGATTGACCACAGTCCACACTGTGATCTAATACATGGTCATTTATTATAATATATAGAGAGAGTAAATCCTGCCTAACTGAGAAAGATAACAATGATGCTGGGGGCATTAGTCAAAGACAGGTAGCCTGTCACAATTACAATGTGCGGGTGGGCGGATTGTTTCCTTTTGTGGTATCATTTAAATTTTAAAAAGAATTTTGCAGTGGTAAATAAGTTCAGACAACAGTGACCAGATGGGATGATGCCGGTGGCCAGACAATGGATACATTAAAAATTTATTGAAGGATTTTGCTGTGATAATAATTAAAGTAATATTTTTAACTCTGACAAGTTGTAAAACTATTCCCTGCTTTACAACAGCAAGTTTGATTGGAAATAAAAGTCAGCAACTGTTAGCATTAAAAGTAAAGTTTCAAGAAGCCACAAAGCATGCATTTATGGTACCAACCAAAATTTTAGAAGAAAATGCCCATTCTGACATGTAAGGTACATTTGCAGTACAGGAAAGCCATTTGTTTTTATGTAAATCGAGATTTACAACAGAGGTGTGATCACATTCATGACAGTGAATGATCCATGACGCAACGGACCTGACAATGATCGCACATTTTCTCTACTTGGTTGATCAGCTGAGCACGCCCAGGTTTCCGCTATTCTTTTTTTTTCTTAAATAAAACAATAAAACTAAAGGCGCTGGCACTATTTCTCCGAACGTTCGGGAAAGTAAGCTGGGCACTATTTCTCTGAACGTTCGGGAAAATAAAGCTGGGCACTATTTCTCCGAATACTCTGAAATCACATCTTTTCGCGCAAATTTCAGATATAGATCTATAATATAGGCCTACCAAAGATTGTTCGTACACAATATGGTTCAATCGGTCCAAAAAATGTCCGCTGTAAATATTTATAAATAAACTTTAAAAAAATAAATTATAACGCACATTTAAGGTTAAAACAGCCTATCTTCTTCGGACAGGTGGACACACGCCCTTATTTGTTAATTTTTGTGGATGTTTATGGGCTGCTCTAATTTTGATTTCATTCTGATGTGAAATCTTTCTTTTTCAAGTTTTTACACTCATCTAAAAATCTCTAGATTAGCTCTTGAAAATTGAAATACTAGATATCTAGACCCAAAAATCACTAGACTGGAAGCCGGAAACGGTTCGGAGAAATAGTGACTTCGAAAACTAAATATATGACATGAAAAACGAGAATTTAGCTGAATGTAGTTCCTTCAGAGCGTGATCTTAGGGGTGACTTTTATATAGACCTAGTAAAAAAATTCTGTTATATTCCATAACAGCGAGATTTTACGCGAACCGGGACCATTATTATAAATAAGTGGTGGGACCTTAGGCGGAGACTACTAATAAACTAATTTTACCTATACATCTAGATCTAGGCCTACTTTGTTACGGACAAAATGATAGGTTATAATAGTGAATACACTTGACACTTTGATACCGGTACACCGTACGCTATGATCAGGGAGAGCAGCCTCGAAAGAGTGGCCTGGATCTTCTGCCTGGGTCACACAGGTGTAACCGGCAACGAGAGAGCAGACTAGCTGGCTGGAGAAGCAAAAGTGGGAGGGAATTTGACACTGGACCCACCAACCGTCCTAACCGCTGTAAGGGAAAATAAGAGGAAGAATAGGGCGGATAGCGGTTCCCACACTCTAGGGAGACTGAAGGAGAGGGGGATCCAAAGAGGAGAGGGGAAACATAGCCATCTGTGCAGACCAGTCCGACCGATCTCCATCCAGATCATGATGGAGACTCTATACACCTGTTTGGATCCTGAAGAGGGGGGGGGGGGAGAGCAGAGATGGACATGTTCCAACTGCAGTGACCCCAACACAGTGGACAAGTAAACAAGTATTGATCAACTCGATGATTTCTAAATCGAAGTGATTATTCGGACTCGAGTCCGAATATGAAAAAATGTTATTCGGACTCTGATTCTTGTCCAGCATGACATCACTTCCGACTTCCTGTGACTCGTGAATCCGGCTTCCTGTCCTGCCTCACTCGTGACTCGCCTCAGGCTGGGTAGAGACCGGGATCGCTTCGGGCAAAAAGGCGTTTTGTGCAGGAGCCGAGTTTTAATCTTATGATGAATTTGAGGCCGGCCTGAAAAGTTAGAGCGCTTCTAATAAATGTTTATTTGTCAAGAGGTCATCAGAAGCAATTAAAGATGGCTTGTTAGCGTGTGTCGGGGTCGGATGGGCGGCCTGCACACGAGTGGCTGTGTGCGTGTCGGGGAGGGTGGTGGGAGGGGGGCACTATCGGTCCGGGCTTTGAACGTCGCATACTCGTCAGTCTTTTTCCCCCCAGCCACTGATCATTATTACAATAATAAGCCGCTCTTGACGTAGATCTCGGTAATGAATTCATTGAATTGTGCGCTGGTCTATGGAATCAAAAGTTGCCATATGCTCAGCTCTACACAGCAACACAACTTTTTCTTTGTAAACAATCGAGATGACACAGGCTTGTGTATTTGAACGAATCTGTTCTTTTTTTTTTGTTACACCTCATAATATGCAGGTGCCAGGTGGTCTGCTAATCTTCAATGTTACCTTTTTCTACAACAAAGAAAGTGGGAACCGTGGGGGGCGGGGGGGGGGGGGGGGGGGCGTATCAATGAGGCGGCGGGCATTGGATCGGCAGATAAGGTGTGGGGGAAACTAAAAAATGGCGGAAAATTGGAAGCACTGAACGTTTGATCTATAGAACGAAGACACTTCCTTTTTTCCGGACCCGAGTCCGAATAACATTTTTTCATATATTCGGACTCGAGTCCGAATATGAAAAAATGTTTTTCGGACTCGAGTCCGAATAACGACGGCCTTTCTAAATTACGATGTGACTGAAGAATCTCAGAGGCTCAGGAGGATAGGATTCACGGATTGTTGTCACTTTTCAGGCCTTCGCCTTCGCACTACGACTACGAATGATCAATACACTCCCTGAAATTCATCTAGGCGCCTAGCAGCACAGATGGCAGACGCACAGCAGATACTTTGTTTGCAAGGTCGATCGTGCATGAAACTTAAATTGATTAAAAACAAATATAGATCTAGATTCTACAAGGTGAATTAGACACAAACATCACTGTCTTGCCTTTAAATTTTGACAACAGAGATACGGAAACAAAAGATTACACACAAGAAGGGAAATTACCCTGGAAAAAAATACTGGCAAGGGAAGCCATTCTTAAAATTAAGATGAAGTTCATTCAGAGTGATCGATCATGAAGCTCTGTTAGCAGTTAGCGCAAAACAATGAAAAATGAAAACAAAACCGAATAATCTTTACACTAGGAGTTTGGCTGACTGAGCTCCGAAGAGACTGTGAACACTGTAAGTTACTTGTTATCTGGACCAAGATCTTCATCTGGTTTTAATTATAGTTTAAGGGGAAGGTAGACCAAAGGCTACTTGATAGAATCTAGATGGGTGGAAGTGATTCATCCTGCTACTACTACTACTGTATCGTATACACACGTATTGATTGAGTGAGGCAAACCAAGTGTGATCGTGCAAGCGTTTGATGCTCAGGAGCCAAGCCTCATAGCCACCCTCCTCTTCGACATTGCTTCTCCTGTCCAGATAATCAAAGCTGGGGTGATTCTCATGTTGACTAGCATCCTCATCAGTACCTCGTATTGTACCCTGTTGTACGCGTCTTGTCTAAGTCTTTATTAAGTCCAATTCAACCTCTACTATTTTTTCTCTCCGCTCAAAACCATCATCATGTCAAGCGCCATTTGCCGATCAGCGCGATCTTAAGATGACGCAGAACCATATGGCGATCCGCAGAAAGCGCGGCCATCTCGAGATGGGCACGCCATCTACGGATTATTTCCGAAAATGAATAGAGTCGCGTGATCTATCTTGGATATATATATAAATAGATCTACAAAAACCTCTCTCTCCCTCTCTCTCTCTCTACCCCCCTCTCTCTCTCTCTCTCCCTCTCTCTCTCTCTCTCTTTCACTCTCTCTCTCTCCCTCTCTCTTTCTTTGCCACTCTCGCCTCTATGATGTGTGTATATATATAATATAATAATATGTTGTGTGTGTGTTACCAAGCGATCGGCAGATGGCGCAATCTTAAGATTGCGCAGCTCTATTCATTTTCGGAAATAATCCACAGATGGCGCACCCATGTCGAGATGGCCGCGCTTTCTGCGGATCGTCATATGGTTCTGCGCCATCTTAAGATCGCGCTGATCGGCAAATGGTGCTTGACAATCATACACATCAGAGGCTAGGACTGTGTGCAGCGTTCATCCAAGTGTTTTTGCCTTTACGACGATAGCTGCCTAAAGTAGGGGGTAGCAGAATCTTCTCCAGTTCAGGTGTCGGCATTTGAGCCACAATCTTTTCGGGTAGTTTCCCTATTGTGTTCTGCCTGGTGAATAATCTGTTGGATGCAATCTTGCTTTGGTCTTTCTCAGGCTTGGGTACTGGTGCCAGATGGCTGTCCAGCCAGTCAGTCGATATCTGTCCGTTTTCAAGACTGTTGATAAAGGCCTTTGTTAAACCAGATCTGCCTCACTCAGCTGCCTCATGTGTAAGTTTCGCAAGCCATCGGGTCTAGGTACCGTGTCTTTTCCGCTCATGATGGTGCGCTTTTAAAAGTTACAGTTTCAGATGTGAGCACAACGTCAGATGTTTGGCTTGTGAAGTGCATTTGGAGGTTCTTCAACATGTTCATCTTTCAACTTCATTCTTTTTCCAAGATACTGACTGAATAGGCATTTTTCCTTTCTCCCCATCGCTTCTGACCCAGATGTTGTCTTCTTGTTGGAAGTCTGACTTACTTTTCTGTCGGTTCTTCATTGCTTCATCATACAGATCCCAAAACTTATGCAGGGCTTTGTCAGCTGATACCTCCTTACATGTACAAAATTGCTCATATTTTCTGCCCTTTGCTTCATTGGCTACCAACTTGAATCTGCTTGATGCCTGTTTGCTTTCATCTCTAAGCTCCTGGTCAGATCATTTCCATGAGGTCCTAACGTACTTCATTACTTACTGTTGAGGTCTGTAGGCTGGTGATGGCTAGGTCGATTGCTCTGTCGGAGTCCACTGTCCTCATTGCCATTCTGGTCATGTTCCCATCGTTAATGGCATATTAGGTCACAGTGATCCAGAGCATCTTCCAGTCCTTCACCCTGTGGGTTGGTGATGTTATTCCCCCACAACTGTCATCTTGCATTGAAATCTCCACAGAAGATCAATTCACCAGGTAGACTTCTTTGCATCTCGTCAAGCACCATCCAATCTGCTTCCTTCATTTTATGCAGTTGCATACGTAAACATTTATGATGTTCCTAACTGGTTGCTTCTGAAGTTCTACGCCAACAAGATGCAGGTTGTCTGTGTTCTATCTGCCGATGTCTAACTCTCTTCAATCTCATTTTTCACCATGATCAGCTGGCCATGTCCTTTTCTATTGTAAATCAGCTCCTTGAACCCCATCGCTCCAAAAGTTCTTCTTTCACCTAGCTTGGTTTCTTGTAGGCAAATGATGTCTGCTCTGTACATTACCTTTTCTATTACTGTCCTTCTTTGCTCCACACTACTGCAGTTCCAATATAAAAATCCTCAGGTGACAAGGCGTTCAGACTTTATCCTGTGTCTTCTTGCGCCAGCTCTCTTCTTCTTTTTCCTCCCACCTCTCTTCCCTCTTCTCCTACCTTTCTGACCCTCAGAAGAGCATCTGCAAGGAGCATGAACACTGTTGCTCCTGCGAAAGCTCTGTGTAAAAAGAAATTGATCCATGCATGGTTTGCAAGGTGATGAGGAACTAAAATGGTCACCCTAGCTGAGTCTCTTGCTAGGGAAAGGCTGGGCATGGCCATGGTCATAACCATTGGGTGTATACGCCTGGTGCCGCCTCTCTCGCTCCACCAGACGTCGCCCACGCTTGCCACTGACCTTCCGTCAGCTATTCAGCCCATAGGCACATGACACCAGTCAGCCAAAGCTGAACCGTTGGCTTGGGCACAGTACACTTACTGTGTGGGAGTCCTGACCTTTGTCTCTATTGAGATCGTCTGCCCATGATTGCGATGACACAGGCTGGCTCTAAGGTACTCCTTCTGACTCCCTCCGTCACCATCCATCCCCTGCTGCCAGGATTTCTTGGGTCATGACTGGGTGTCATTTCCCCATGACTGGGGGTGAGTCAGAGACTAGGTAGGGCGTGTCCACAAGTCATGCCCGGTGACAGTGTGGGCCTACACAAGCTCCTACGGATTCTCACCTCAGCCCTGCTCAGATAACCCGCCGAGCTCTCGATCACCCCCTTGGCAAGTCTCTAGAGTGAGCTTGCCATCAGGACAGTCCTTTCGGAAACCTTTATGCCATTGCTTGATGTCTGCCTCTATAAAGTATGTGTGCTGCTTCAATTCTTCCACCTCCTCAGGTTTCAGTTTGCTCACTCTCTTTCCCATCCTGACTCCTCTCCCTGCTGTTATCGCTGCTGCCTCTGTTGTTGTTGTTGTTGTTGTTGTTGCTATTGTTGTTGTTGTCACCGTTGCTGTTGTCACCGTTGCTGTTGTTGCTGCCGTTGTTGTTGCTGTCGTTGGTGGTATTGCAGTAGTTCCAGCACAACTCCGCAGCACACTGCTATAGAATAATGGGTCCGGCTTGAACGTTGAGGTTTTTCAGCAGTCATCCCTGGGTCCTTTCTGTGAGTTGAACAGACCCAAGTAGATCTCTCCACACCCTACAGCGAGCACATGGATGTGTGGATGACTGGTCATATGTACTGCCACCGACCAGTGGGATAATAATACTCACAGTCACAGGCTCTCGCCGAGACAAGCACGCGCACAGATCTCTCAACACTGACTTTGAACTGACGCCGCTCTCAGGTGTTTGTTACTATAAGATAAGAATTACTGTTTCCTGTCATTTTCTCTCTGCTTCGGTTTTCAGGCCGACCCGATGATATACAGTCATTTTTGTACTCACATGGCCAGTCCCATCTTCTGAATCCTGATTTGTGTTTCCCATCTCTTACCTCTTGTTTTCCATGTACCGTATCAAATTTTCCATTATATCCCCTATATCCCAACTTTAATTCTGTAAGTGTGCTCCGTTTTCCTTTAACAGCTCATGGGGTGGAACACTTGAAGCAGGCCAAAAATATTAAATAATAATAATATAATAAGTATTATGCATCACTGTCACCAATATCCAAATCATATGTGCTGTTCAAGCTCATGTTTTCAACAGCTTAATTTAATACTGTGTTATTCTGAATCAAAGCTTGGTCCCCATGAGATTTCTTTGATGTGTATCCTCTTCGGAAGCGAGTTTATTTTTACTTTCCCTAACTTACAATTCGCCCAGCACGACTACTTGGGTCCATAATATTATTATGTCAATTTGGTCAGATCATTGCGGTCAGAATCAAACTTTCATGTAAGAAATGTAACAATCTGACAAGACTAATATCGAAAACGCTCCCTCTTGAGAGAGGTAATGTGACTCTCTTTACATAGCACCAGTCGTCGTATTTCAAGGACCCAAATGATGGGGAAACAACTAGTTGTTGATTGATATCTCTAAGAAGAAACAAGGACAGTTTGAATCGCCCAGACGTAATAAAAGATTGTAACATCAAGTCTTAAAGAAATTGTAAAGCAAGACTGCATTGTGTCGCAACAATACATTCACTGGTCAGAGCAGATGGCCTAAAAAAACAGTGCTACACAGTCTTCGATTACACCCCACCACCCAGCACCCACCCTTACATGACTAGATTCAAGGTAGTTCTAATTATGCCTTTTAGAAGCACACATGATGTGTCTTGGTACCACCAGCAGTGTGCGTTACATCGTTACATCGCATAGTGCAGGGGTTGAGTCTGTTAAGCTCATGTAACTTGATACTCTCATTGACAATGAGCGCATTGTTTTCAATCATTTAATTCATTTGTGCAGGCGATATGATTTCAAGACAATTATTGAGAGGAAAGATTTTATTGGTGTTTTCCACTGTTCAACAAACCTGCTTGGGTGTCTGAGAAAACAGTGTTGCCATTTGGCCTACAAAGATAAGTGGTGCAGTCTCTACTCACGGGTACAAGCTGTCCGTGATTTTATGTGTTGAGTATTCCCGTTATATGTGCCTGACTGTACTATAATATAATGCTCATTTTTGACAGCCGCTGAATGGAAAAAGAAGGCTGTTTTGAAGGATTACTTTCAACCTATGAACTAGACATTTTTATGCATGTTAATAGTGGCCATAAAATTGAAATCTACTTTCTACAGTCTACAGATTTCTCTTGAGAACAAGTGAGAATGGCACAGTCTTTGAGTGACAAACGCCAAGAAATGTACAAATGCAGAACACCACCTTGGAAAGATGTGTATCGACAGGTATAATTCTCTATCCTTTATGTGTAAAAGTACGTATACCCACAGATTTACTAGACAAAATGGATTTTATATTATGTGATTATTTTGTTAATTGCTCTGTTTCTAATTCATATTTAGTCAATTTTTCTGTAATATCATACACATTACACGGATAGTCCCTGTGGTCAAATAGATGTATAGGTTGAAATTGATTAAGTCCAGTCAGTTGTCATCTTATATATCTGACAAATCTGTCATGCAATCCAACCTATCTTTCTTTCAATTGGACAATCAGTCTTTCAATCCAGACCTCTATTCTATTTGATCAGTCTGTCTATCATCCAGTTCAACCAATCTGTTGTCCTCAGAGGTGTAAAGACAGGCTTAAGCAGAACAGGGAGAGGGTCCTTGCATTGCGACGGATGCTGAACACTCATAAGGACTCCGAATTCAAATCTGAGGTTATCGACCCCTGCGAGGACCCGGCAGAGGAGCAGTTGGACATTCGGGACATAATGGCTGCTGAGTGGTCACAGCTACAGGCAGAGAGACTGGCCACAGGGGATGCTGGCATCTCTGATGACAAGGTGAGTTGGGCAGGAACCATAGGATAATTAATTAACACCTGTCACATAGGAAACTTGACAGTCCGTTACCTAGAATTACAAAGTTCTATCTGGCATTTTTGACCGTCTTGAGTTACTAAGATCATGAGATCAGAATCCATGTGTTCTAGCTGCTCTTTCAAAATCAGAAAATCATTCAAAGTCGTTATCAAGATATTCAAAGAATCGCATTAAAAAAGCTTAACTTACTGTGAAACTCAATTTTTTTAAACATCAAATTTCTCAAAACTAGGTTCTGAGCAGATAGAACTTTGTAATTTTAGAGTAGCACCTTGTTACACTGGGACTTTGACACTTGTTCTAGGCATAGTGTCTCTGTAAGTGATTTTTACATGAAAGGTGCCACTGCAGACGGCCATTCCTCTACCATTCATTTGTTCTTTGGCTGGCTTTATTCTGTGTCAAGATATCCACGGGCAAAAGGGAAATAAAGTTGAATCTTCTCTCATAGCAACCTTTATATAAGACAAACACATGTACAAATGGCCACTTCCCATTTCCTCCCATGCATATTTCTTACATTATAATGACACTGTGTATGAGGGCCACCTGTCTAATATGGCCACTTCTCTCCTCAACAGATGGTGGCCGTTTAAGACTGTTTTGAATGTAGTTGGAAGTGGGAATGTAGCCTTCAGTAAGTAAAAGGCTGATGCTCAAGGCAGAATTGTTAAACTAAGGGGTTCTTGAAAGAGTTTGATCCTTCTAGTCTTGCTGTTTTGACTATTTATGATACATTTTGTATTTTTCTACTATCATAAAGTGGTCTGAAATTTTAAAAAAATTATTTGGCATTTAGTTCATTGAACATATAATGACTCTCTATAAATTCTTGAGACCATTCATATTTGACATCTCTAATGTATCAATAACAACATTTCAGCTCCCCCACCACACCCCCATTCCCTCCTCCCATCCCCCACATAATATACTTTTGAATTTCTCCTTTTCAGTTTTTTGACATTGAAGGGGCTAATATCCATGACATGATATCTTGGTTTGAGGAAATCCAAGAGGAGCTGAAACTAGAAGGTTGGTTTGTGTACCTTTTCCTATCTTCCAACTGACTCATTAATGGTTTGGCTGTAGTTGAAATAGATATGTGGGTGGTTGGTGGGTGCTCTGGTGTGGTTTATTCCCTTCTTTTATATCAAACATTTATCTTTCTTATATCTCCTTTTTTTTTTTTTGTTACTCTCCTGTGAGATCTCTAGTCTTCGGCACTTGACGTACATAACCTTTTTGTGTTGAAAGTGCCATAAACTCTTACTAAAACTAAATCAAATTGGATGTGTAACAAAATAAACAGAAGTGAAGCCCTGTTATATTGTCAGCTAAAAAGAAAATATGGGGGTGATGCTTAACAGGATTCAGATTGACACTCTTTACATTTTTCACCTAAATTGGCACAAATTTTGTGTTCTTAGCCTGCTTGAGAAATCAGACCATCACAAGTTTTAACCCTTCCAGCCCCATGCGCGTATATTTTCAGCAGCGTATGTACCTCCCACTGTCCCAAGAGGCGTATATTCTCAGTTTTTTGGGGGTACTGAACTTGCGCATTTTTCTAAATTTGCTAACCGTATTAAACTTTAATTTCTGTATTTTTTTCATTTACCTTTAAACATTGTTATATTTTATTGTCTAAACCTCATTACAAAGTTTCTACATCACTTTTTAGAATGCATGCTTGTTTTTTTTTTATACTGCTGTATTGGCTGGGACTGGCTTGGGGTAAGGGAGTGCCCAGAAATGGCTGGGGCTGGAAGTCATATGGTTATGCCATTCAGCTGAGTACATAGAACAGAAATGTGTTAGAGATCAACTGAGAGGTGACTGTGGTCAAACCTGTTCTAATAGCCACCTGTCCAAGGAATTACCTGTACAAACAAACACTCCCCATTTCACCCTTTGCATTTTTTGAAAATATATTTTAATGGCACTGTTCAAGACGTCCACCTTTCCAAGACCATAATTTTACTCCTCAACAAGGGGTAGCCCTTGTGGACAAATTGGACTGTTTATTTTTATCTTTACCACGTATCCGTCGAAAAGCCATTGATATCATGAATTAATATTCATCACTTTTCCTGTATTTTTTTTTTTTAAGTTATATATAGTGTGTTAATGTTTTAATTAATTTTTGTTTTGTACTGGTCGTGGTATTGACGTAATTTTTTCAGTGAAAACCTCATTTTGTCATTGATTGAGAACCTAGCTCTTCCCAGGTGTGTTTGGCTTAAATTTTGTTTGTTTTGTTGTTTGTTTTTTTTGGGTTGTAGTTTTGAATGTTGTTGTATTTTGGTTTTGTTAGTCTGTTTTCTGGTGTTTGTTTAATTTGTTTGTTTTTTCTAAGGGGATGTAAATCTCATAATTTAAGAAACTGTTGTATATCTCTGGGTTTTTTAAATGATTTTCATATTTCAAAATTTGTGGTTATAATTTGTGCCTTCAGAACAGCAGTTGCTGAATCAGCAGGATCTATGTGACGAGTATGTGAAGAGAGAAGAGGAAGAACTGTGCACCTCCTTGAAATCGTTATCAACCCTCGATGTTATTTGTCCATTATGTGAAAGGTGGGTCCCTTAATTTTTCAGGCTTGCTCCTTTAGTTCAATTGTTATAATGCTGGAGTAAGGAGCCCTGGTTCAAATCCCAGAGTGGGCATTTTTTAACTCTGGGTGTTTTGTGGAGTTCTCAAGGTTCTCAGCCCATTTAGCTTGGTCGTATCAGAGATAAATGTTAAATTTGGAGGTCCTGCCTCTTAAATAATCTAGAAATGTTGATAGTGGCTTTAACCCCAATAAACTTACACTTTAGAAAAATTGTACTGCTGTTCCTGAGAAAGAGCCAGTGTCACCAGATTGTGAAATCAAACGTTTGCTCCCCTTTCAAAGAGTCTTTTATGCTCTGAGCTCAATGGCTTTTATCAGATCGACAACTCATAGGCCATAAGATTTTGAGGGGATAGTTTAAAAATGCTAACCTTTCACTTTGTTAAAGGAATCTTCTTCTCTTTTTCACATTTATTGTACAAAATATGCACAATTAAAGAAATAGAATTTGAAATTGGTAATATCACCTGTTTTTGTTTTTTTTAACAAATTCAAATTTGTTTTGCCTCTTGTGAACGTATGTGACACGTGATAACAAAATGAGTTACTTCTCATATTTTAGTCTTGTTGAAATAGATATAATATGTCGAATTGATAGGCTGAGTTTTTACAATTCATTAGTTTAAAATAATAAAAGACTTGAAGAAAATGCCATCAGTTGAAAATCTATAGATTTACTGCTTTGTTGACTCTCTGCTGATATCTCTATTTGTGGATTGCAAGAAGTAATTCATTTTGTCAGCATGTCCCACATATGGACCTATATTTTGGGCTAAGGTTCCTCCCCATCAGTCGGTCTTTTGTTTTCTTTATCACTTGAGCTCACCTGTCATAACAGACCAAAACACAACACTCTTGGTCTACATCTGAATAGTGTTTTACAACCTCATCGTCAGCTTGTCTGGTCTCAGGTTCCTACTTGAAAAGCTAAGATACTGAAAACCGAAAACCCGGCTGAACCGAAGAAAAGCTTGCGGTCCTGCAGATAACAGTTTAAATGGACTATGTATAAAAATTCCCTTTTGCTAGAGGAACAAAAAACATGATAAGAGGTGGTACTGCATTAGCTGTTACCAGAAGAAAAAAGTTTTGTTTTCTGAACTTTTCCATGTATTACTTCCAGTTTTTTTTTGTATTTGAGCATAATAAAATCAATATCTTGGTTGGGGCATAGTCATCATTTTATATTTTCTGCCCTTTAGGAATTCTTTGTTGGAAAACAAAGGTGTGATTGTGTGCAAGTGTGGCCTCAGAATCAATACAGAGGTGAGTTTCAGTGTGGTGATCAGCTACAAACTTATTGTGTATCAGCCTCTGGTTTTAAATATTTTTGAAAGATCAAAGTCTGAAAATGAATTCATTGGTAATGGCATGTAACGATTGGTTTATTAAGAAAATAAAAATGTGTTGCATCACAGTCAGATCAGGCACATGTAAAAGCTATTTAGCTGATTTAGCAGATTTCCGCTTCTGCCTTTTCCTCCGCTAAACTCTGCTCCGTCACTTTCTATAAACATAATCAAGATTGTCAATATTTGGTAAGTGACTCTTACTTGAAATTATCTTCGATATCCTCAAATTGGTATAAAATAACCTTGCTTTGATAAATTGATGGGGGGTTTTTTTTCAGCATTCTAGGGTTAAACAGTATAATAATAATGGGTGTCTCGTGAAAATGGTCTTCTGTCGCAATCACTCGGAAAGTTCCCCCTTTTTAGAAATTCTGAGTTGAGACCCATGTTAAAGTTGTTAAAGTGAAGGGTGATTTGTGGGAAAGAAATGTTTGAAGTGTCTTGCTTTGAGTTACTAAATGTAAATGAGATGTATTTTGTGCTCATGACCCTTTTATCAAAAGATTTAGAGAGAGTCCTTTTTTTATTCTTTAGCCCAAGTAGCTTCACAAAACGCTAAGGAATTGTTCTGAGATGATTATTTTAAGACTAAAGTTTCCTTAGAATCTATTGCTCAGTATAGATTACATTAAATCTTTATTTCCGGCTAGCCAGAAGTGGCTTGCGGTCGGAACCGTTGTGCTGGGGAGCTGCTGACCGCGGGTCGGGCACATTCCTTTGCGACGACTTCGACATCAAATTACTTTTTGGCAGTTGCCGAAAACAGGTCTCTTTTATCGGGAGTTCATTCGTTTGATGAATAACTATCAAAATAGTTCACTTGTTTTGATTTAATGACCAATGTAGTGAAGTTTTTGTCACCAAAAACGGGCCCCGGCATAGTAGGTTTACCTCCCTCTGAGATAAAGAGTTAAACACACTGTGTCTCCTGGAGTTTTGTTCCTTATTACCTCTTGAGAACCCCAGAACAATGCCTTTTCGATACAATTCATCTTTTTCTGTTCTCACCACTAAAAATACCTTTCAGCAAGACGGCATTACCTTGAAGAATGTTCAAGAAAGTCTGGAGGCAGGCGCGAATGAGCATAGTGCTGTCTGCGGGTCCAAACCGGTGTTCTCACTTGATGAAAAGTTTGGAACTTCTACACTGACTATGTCATGCCAAGTAAGTACATTTTTGTTTTGTGTTTCCTAATTAGTGTACAAAACATAATAATAATAATAAGAGCATTTGTATCCTGCCTTTCCCCACAGCATGGGCCCAAGGCGTACATAGAAGATTAAAAACGCATTCATACTAACACCATACAAATTCATCATGTGCGCACTTTTTGACAGCAACATTCTTTCAGACGATAAAAAATGCTCATACAAAAACATCTGTAATTCTCAGACGTGCAGAACTACTTTTTAACCTTTCTGTCCTGAGTTTTTCAGAAATAGTCTTCGTAAGCAATTGGATCATTTATAGGACAGGCTAACAATAATAACAGGTGAATTCATTATGACAGCTCATCCACAGTCAGGAGCCAATATAATTTGGGGCTATGAGAGATTTGCATTGCATCTGGAACAGATTTTAGCTCTATTGGTTTAATAAAATTTAGTGGTGTCAGCTGTGTTTGACAGTTTATTTTTTAGGCAGTGCTGTTGTACAGAAAAAATGTAAATTGGGGAATGAAAAATGGCCATATGTACAGGTGGCTTTCTTATACAGGTGGCTGTCTAAGCAGGTTTGACTGTATTTCTTTTTATCAAATTGCTGTTATGACCATTAATTTAATTATTTGATTATTGATTTAAACTTTCATTTAGTATCATTGATTCATTACTTTTGTGGTCTCAATCAGCATATTCCGCTTATTTGTTAATGTAATAAATTCTTTCAGGAAAGCTTCACATCAGATCTTAATGAAAAATTGAAGGTTCAATACTTATCAAGTTGCTCATTGTCATTGATTTACTTCCTCTCAGTAATTCATGTCAGTTGTGCATACATGTTTAGGATTTTTAAAAACCCAAAATTTTAAAAAATAGGTAAGAAATGTCTTTGTCCTTCCTTTTCTTTCGCTCCTCATCCCACCACCCCTCTTTTCTTGAAATGTATGAAACTTTTGTTTGTTGTCTTTTTTTTTCAGGACTGCGACTTCCTTTTCATTGTGATTTGATGGTTGACTGCGCTAAGCTGTACTGTGGCCTTCATCTGTATATAGAGCATATTTTCCTTCATTTTTTCACATTGAATGCAACCAAATTACAATATGTGCTTGACACTCGAAATACACTGCCTGAATCGAAATTGTGTTGTTTGCTTTCAATTTGTCAACATTATATTATACATATATTATTGTTTGTGAAATTTGATTTTGCAACTTCCTCTGTTTTTTGGGATACCGGTGGTATGCCACTTTTGTTCTTTAGGGTCAATGTCTTCTCTCTATACTTGCTGCATATTTTTCTATGCCTCATGTCATCTTGGTGTAAGACTGATCCCCAAGCAGAGAAGTTTATATCAACCATCTGTTGATGTGCTATACCCCACTTAGTTGACTTAGGCTCTTGTTGCCCTGATAGGAATGATGGTGGAAAGACACACACACACAAACACACACACACACACACACACACACACACACACACACACACACACACACATACACACACACATACAAACACACATGCACTCACACACACACTCATACAAACTCTCGCACCGTGTGCACACACACACACACACACACACACACACACACACACGGTGGCTAAGAGATTGCGTTGTACGAATGGCACCATTTACCAGGAGAGGAGTTGTACCCTTTGTTTTAGTAAGAGTTTTATGGTGCTTGCAAAACACAATTAGGTAATATAGGTGCCAAAGATTAGAGGTGTTCCAGGAGAGTAACAAACCCAGAGAAGAAAGAGAAGAGATCAGGATGATAGATAATTAATAGTAAGTTTGATTGGTGTCAGTGGTCTAGTGGTTAGGCTCTCGCACTCTCAACTGTAGTAAGGTCGGTGGTTCGTATCCTGTCAGAGGCTCTTGGTAAAGGCACTTTACACAACTCTTCCTCACTTTACCCAGGTGGGAATGGGTACTCGACTCTAGACAGCGAAAGGTTTTGTCTGTTTGTTAGTGCTTCAGAACTTAAACAGCTGCCTGCACTGTATGCTTCCCAGGAGGCTGAGAATGATTCTCAGTGTTCTTGTGTTTGCTGGGGTAATGATAATAGTAATAATAAATATAGTGTAGTGTAAAGTGCATAGATCATTCAGTTGAAAGGGTGTATGCACTATTAAAAAATGCCATTTATTACTATTATTCCAAAGTTAAGCAGTTATTTTGTCAATAACGTACTTCCATTTGTCTACTGGAATGCTGTCTTTTTCTGAACCCCTTGATGGCCCTTATAATACGGGTCGAAGCAGCCTGCTTGGTAAATGACTACCATTGTCACTTGTGTTGATAGCACCGTAAACATTAATGTACAGTCATATTATAAGTTGAAGAGTCTTTGCTTGTGATTATAGTCCAGGGGGCTGGGCTCGTCCAAGGTGCGGGTGAGCCTAGTTTAAAGCTTGATTTACTTACTGACGTGTTTGATAGTACATGTCTGTGTAATAATTTTGATTTTTTTTTTTTGCATGCGAAAGGCATAAGTTTACATGGTGCTCTTGTGTGGTTTGCGCCTTCTTTCCTAATAAACTTCTTTCATTCTTGTCTCTCCTTCTTTTTGCATGTATTACTATCTCTCTCTCTCTTTATCTCTCTCTCTCTCTCTCTCTCTCTCTCTCTCTCTCTCTCTCTCTCTCTCTATCTCTCTCTCTCTCTCTATCTATCTCTCTCTCTCTCTCTATCTATCTATCTCTCTCTCTCTATCTCTCTCTCTCTCTCTCTCTCTCTCTCTCTCTATCTGATCTATCTCTCTTTTGCAACACATGTAATCGTTAGCAGTTATCTTAATCGTTAGCAGTTATCTTACTTGACCTAGACGTGTTGCAAATGCCGTAGAACTTATTAACACGTAAAGTGTATGACTGAGCTGGAAAGTCTGACTCTTTACTACATGCACGCCTTCATTTTCCTCATCGTCGAGCCTCCACAAAATTGTTTGTTTGTTTGTTTTTGTAAAGTGCTTTACGGCGCTCACAACTGAATAAGGTCATATGAGCGCACGGGACACACCTAATATTTTCAGTTGGTAGGAAATTTTTGAATTTTGCCCGGGTGGCGGCCGAAGCCTACTCTTAACGATTTTAGACCACCAAGGGATCTTTAACGTGCGCAGCTTGCACACGGGCCCTCCGAGATTTTTCGCCCTTGTCCGAGAAGGCTAGGTGTAGATCTTTCCTACCAGAAGATCAGGGGTGTGGCGGAAAGACAGCAGTAAGGAGGAGCCTAGGAGTAGCAGTAGAAAGGCTGCAGAAAGAGTCAGGAGCCCAGAGGAGGGGGGCAAAGGAGGTGACGGGGTGGGGGCAGAAAGTGGAAATGAAAGCAGACAACAGAACATTGCTAGAGAGCAGGAAAGAAAGTGAAAGGAGACAATTTTAGAGGAGAAAATTTTTCGGTCGCTACCCGGATTCGAACCCGGGACCTTTTGAATGAGAGGCCAACACCTTAACCTCTAGGCCACGAGAGCCCCTCAAAATTGTAACTGGGGTCTGTGGTGTGACAGTGTCATATTTCACTGTTTCAAACAAAAGATCTGAGTTCAATTTCCGAATGGGGGTGAAACTTTTTATCGAGTATCTCAGTCTTTCTGCAAAGATGTTGTATCCCTCTCAGCTCAGGTCGGCCCTGACAGGCAGGGTCGCAAATCCGCCTCCTAAATTATCTAAATTGTATCGACCGCTGCGTAAAACACCACCAATAATAATTAATGTATTTTTTAAGATGTAGCAGGCTGGGTGCCAGTTTAGTCAAACTTATATTTTCTACACTGCATAGTTATATTTTTCCTTTAAAAACAAGAAACATAAAAAAATAGATCTTTCGGTGATACCAGTAACTCAAAAATATGCTTAATGATTGATGAGAACCTGAAGACTTTGGTGGGGATCGGTCTGCGGTACCCTCTAGTGGTTAGGCTACTGGATCTGTCATCGCGAGATCACGGGTTCTGGGGTTCGCCTGTCAGCTCTGTTCGACGTGTGTCCTTGGAAAAGACACTTTTCACAAATTCCCTATTTTGTTCGGTCCTTTAGGAGACAGACATAAGACTCGGAGGGCCTGCCTCTAATAATCATATAACTAAATAGTGTTGAAAAAAAAGGGCGGGGGGGGGGGGGTAAATCTACCATTTCACATTTAAATTTTTCTGAAATCACCGTATCACATTTGAAAACATGCTGAAGCGCACGTTAGCACAATAAAGTATGACTCTGATGTTGGTGATGTACTTTTAGACTAATTATTTCCTTCGAGACACACAGGACAGAGCCACTGAATTCTGCAGTTCTTACGAAAACATTTATTATTTATTCATTTTTATAAGACAGGTTCAAGAATGCTTTGTGACATTTCCCCTGTCAATATTGTGTTCTTTACTCTGTGCAAACATGGGTGTAGGTGGCGTCTAGGTGTACTTTATTAAACACCCCCCCATCCAAAAAAACACCCAAAAAACCCCCATAAGAATTACTGCTGATATACATGTATAAATATAGTAGGCTATAAAAATAACAAAACAAAACAAAAGAAGGAATTATAATATAATATGCCGAGTTTCACATGCTAAGAACAAAATAACATTTTAATATATTCATTTGTCTTAAACAAGATATTATGCAAACCCCGGCTTATCATATTCTTTACGGATAAAACTTTCGTCTTTTAGAGTATGAAGAATGTTTGTATTTATCATAAGCATGCCTTCCAAGAGCTGTTCACTGATCTATGTATGTATATCATTATAATAACAACTGATCTATGTGAAAAAAGAGAAAATAGAAGAAATATTGAAGAGTCTTCAAAAATAAAGTCTTCAATACATGTTGTGTGACAACGCTCACGTATTTATGTGAGCGTGTGTGTGCGTGTGTGTGTGTGTTTGTGTGTGTTCATGTGAGTGTGTGTGTGTGTGTGTGGGCGCGCGTGTGGTAAAGGCTCATAATAGTAAAAGAGCTGCGCGGTAATAACGCATCAGTAGACAGCAAACAGAAGGCCAGGGTAAGAAGCAAAATAATGGTATTTGAGAACAGACCTTGTTGACTGGTCAAGAAGAACGCAATCTAGACAGAGTAAGTTGTCTAGCTGAAAGAAAGAAGAAGAAGGATACACAGAACTGCAGACATATCATTATTATGTAGTTCTGCAGCATTAGTGAGTAGGCTAGATATATATATATACTATTTATGGCCTGCCACTCCAGTGAGAGAAAAAATAGCAGTTCTTCACGATTGGTGAAGAACGATAATTATACTTGGACAGGCATGCACAGAGCAGCGATATTTTTTACACGACATGATATTGCTATCAAATACTGTTTACTGTTGGTTGACCCCGTTACGCAATGTTTGATGTCTGCTTTCGCCATCTCGCCTCGTCTCTCCACATTGCTACGGGAGGGGAGTCAGGAAACTCAGCCAACAAGCGACAAGGCTGAAATGAGAGGAAGATGAGGTCGATACAGATACAGTTTGATGATAATTGATAGTACATGTACATGTATAGGTGGTAAGCCTTTAATTTTAGGTGGCATCCTCGTCGTCACCTTCATCATCATCATCATCATCATCATCATCATCATCATCATCATCATCATCATC